CGGCCTCTGCGGACTCACCGACAGCGGCGGGTGTGACGTCGTTCTCATCGTCACCCCCTTGACCTGCCTCGTCGTTCGTTACCATCGCCAATACTTCCGAAAAGTGCTCCTTGAGGTCGTCTATCGTAGGGCGATGCCTGTTACTCCGAAGCTTACCATCACTCACTAGGTACGGGATGTCGTCCTTGACCTGCAAGTGCACGAATCCCTGCTTTGGCGTAACCATGAAAGGTAGTTTACCAGGCATCCAGTGAAATGCATAACCCATCTTCATGCATCTCCTCCCCACTGACAATACCGTGGGTGTCTCATCCAATACATGCGGCTCGACAGTCTCGTCCAACTCGTCCACGACAATCTTGGCCACATCAGATGTGGAAGTGGAACCATTCGCGGTCTGGAACACGATCTCGTCGTCATCTTTCACGATGTCGACACCCAGGCTCTTCGCCTTGGCTCTTCCGATGAGATCATGACCACATCCGGTGTCCATCAACCATTTCACCCGTTTGCTGATGCACGTTGACATGGCAAAAACGTTCTTCGGCATACCATGCTGTTTCTTCCAGTCGACAGCCGATTCCTTGATCTCGTCCTTGTTCCGATCATACTCGAACATTATGCTGCTTTCCTTGGTCACCGGGAAGTAATGCTTCTTGTATATATCATCCACCACTTCTCTCAGTATCTTCGCACGTATCAATGATCGTTGGACTTGGTAGGCTGATAATTCACGATGATCACTGCTTTTGAACTTCTTCTCGTCGACGTACACGTACTGATAAGGCTCATTCACATTGTCCTCATAACCGTACCATTCTCCTTTTCGTTCCCATTGCCTTCTCTCGTCTTCGAGGTAGGTGATCTCCCCATTCTCGTCGACGTCGAGCACTTCCTTGAACCCCACCATTTTCTCGGGGATCTCGGACTCGCCAGACCATCTCGATGATTCGCTCATCGCGTCGTCATCGTGCTCGTGGTAGACAGTCTCGGCTTCGTCCGGTTCGACCTGATCAACGTCTTTCTTGAAGCTTACCTTCCCTGCAGGAGCCGATTGCTTCAGGACTATCGCGGGCATTGCGATGGCCCTCCTCGCAATGGCTGGCGCTGCGGCTTTGGCGGCAGCCTTCGACTTGGCTTGCGCCTTGTCATTTGACGTTGCTGGAGCTGAATTGTTCTTGATGAGCTCATGCCTGTACTTGCAAGCGCTTCCCCTATCGCACTCCCCCTTCTGAAACGCGAAGCATGCTCCATCATCCCTCTTTGGTGACGATGATCTGGACTTGGATTTGCCCTTTCCTTTCCCCTTGGACATGCTCTCCAACTTATGCTCCGTCTTCTTGCTGTGGGAAAAAGTGCATTCATTCCCTTTCACGCACCCCTTCGCCGATTAGAAGTGGTACCAGCAGGGGTTATCCTTGCTTCCGCCCGGACTCTTGCCTCTGTCGCTGGCACCGTCGGACTTGCCGTTCTTGCCAGCGTGGCCCTTTGCCTTGGCTTTTGGGAGCACAGGAGCGGCATCAGGTCCACCGGGTTTCCCTTTCTGCCCTTGCCACCCTGGTTCTCCTGTTTGACAGTTGCTGGAGCCGCATCCTTCCCGCCTGACTTCATCATCGACTTGACCGATTTCTCCTTCATGTCGAGCATCAGGTCTTCCCGATCTGCCTTGATCTGATAGTCGAGCAACGCCAATAAGAATTCATACGTCTTCTGAGGATGCTTGTCCGGTAGTCTATGGTAGGCATTGAGGCCGAACTCCATCTTCTTGCTCCCTTTGATCTTCCTGTAAAGGATGTCTCTGAGAGCCAGCTTACTGGGTCTGTCCTCGCTCCTCTTCTTCAGCAGCAAATCATACCATTTGTTCCTGAACATGACCAAGTTCTTGTCGCCAGGAAAGTCAAGGTTGAATAAATGCTCGATGTGGTAGACAAGATCCGTCCTATCGGAAGTTCTGAATGATTGCATAACTAATGCCACCAACTCTCGTCCCTTCACGATCACCCCTTGTTGATGTCGTAGTTCAGAGTGTCGTGTAGCATCGAGGTATACGTCCTTGGCTTCGTCAGGTGCTTGTTTCAGCATGTTCTGCATGCCCATGGCTATCTTAATATCTATCGTAGCAAATCTGTCGCCACCTGAATCGCTAAGTAAATCCAGGTCTGGGTTCAACCCAAGAGCCTGCTCCAGCCATTTCGTCCATGCGTCGGTATCTGGATCTGCACATGCGCTCAGAACATTCATCAGCAGTTGCATCTTCCAGGTGTCAAGTTGATGGATCTTTGGCCAGGCCGGAATAGATACTCTCTCGGCCTCTTTCCTCGAGATTCTCGGTCGATCATTCTTGATCTCTCGGTTATCTCTCGATCTCCTTCGTCTCCTCCGTGTCCGATCGTCTTCTTCCTCTTCTTCTTCCTCGTCTTCCTCATCTCCTTCGTCGTCGTCATCCTCATCCTCATCATCGGGTGGATCATCCGGAGGTCCTCCTCCGCCACCAGCGAGGCTCAACTGACGTCGACCCGCTCCCTGCCCATTCCCATTGGGCGGGAATCCACCGTAATCCAATGGGGGCGTAGTACCGTTGTTTCCCCCCCCATCACCACCACCAGTCGTAGTAGTGGATTGTGGGACATGCCCAACAACCCCTTGCATCTGGGATAGGTGTACATCGATCATTGGATCACCGAAAGACGGAAAGAGGATCGAACCTGGCATCAGCGACGAATTAGGGATTTGATTTGAAGACGATGACGGGACTGACCCAGCCACCTTCTTGTCTACCCTAGTTCGAATTAGCTTGGGTTCCTCCCTCAGCGCGTTTCACTACTGCTCGTTCACGATGTCCATCTTTGCTGTTGGAGGCTTCCTGTGTCTCCAGCTTCTTGTGTGCACGTAGTTCCTCGTTGTCAGCATCGAGTTGGCGTACAAAACTCTCTTCTTGCTTGAGCGTCGCCTCTCTTTCCTTCAGTTGTCTCTGAAGCTCATGCATCTCCTCGAGGTACTCATCGTACATTCCCTTAGCTGTCAATCTCCAGTACTCAGCCTCCTTCGACTTCTCGTCCATCGTGCACCGTTCCTCTTGTTTCTCTTCTTTGACCTGGGCTAACTCCAAGATCGCATCCTGACGATGACCACCTTCGACAGCAATCATCTGGTCCTTCATCGACACGTCGGACTCATACTGTTTGACGATCTCTTCTTTTTCGCGAAGCAAGCAATCTGCTCTCTTCGATTCCTGTTCCGCAAATACTGTAACGTCATTCAGCCTCGCCATCAGCTGTTCCCTGGAGTCCTCCAAAGAGTACGTCTCGGGGCGCTTGACGAGTGCATGCTCCAACTGTGATTTCAGACTTTGGACCATCTCCTCCTCGTTGAACTTCTCGATAGATGTAGAAGATTCTATGCCTCTGATCTGTTGCTGATAAACTGATATCTGTTGTGAAGCCTCACGGTGTATCTGATTTGCACGTATAGCTGATTCCTGCGCGGCCGACTTCTCGCTTGCCATGTAGGATTTCATCAATGCAATCTCCCGCTTCTGCTCCATGATAGTTCCTTCAGCTTGTCTCATCTGTTGCATTATAATATTCGACTCCATGTCTTTCTTCTCCCCGTAATGAAATGCGTTCATTTCCACCTTGCGCATCTGTTGGGCTTCTTCCTCAAACTTGCGCCATGCCTCAGCCATGTGGTGTTGGTGGTGACTCACTAGATGTCCCGACTGCTTGCTGGCAATCTCGCATCGTCTTTCCAGCTCCTGGATCCGGATGGTGCTTCCATAGTCTTCTTGGTTAAGATTCGCCATTGCTGCCGACATTTCATCAAGTGTCTTCTGATATTCCCCGATCTCCACCTCCATCTTATTCTTCTCTTTGATCACGGCGCGAAAATCTGCACTGGTGGGTGATTTTGACCTCCCACCCTTCGATGTCGATCTCACGCCCTTCTGCGACGTCCGTGGTGTCGCAGGCGAAGATGATGATCTTCTCGGTGGGGATTCTCTTTTCTTCGACTCCTGATGAACATCGATCTGCTTCCATGATCTTGTGGGAGTAGATATGTCGCTGAATAGCGCGGAACCTCCGCTCCCAGGTTCATCCTGTGAATCTGCAACCATATCCATCACCGCAGGAAGAGCCATCAATCCATTGGATCCCTCTGAGCTGCTGTTCCCAAAAGTTGCAGTACTTGGGCTCGCCGAAGACGCCATTGTACTGTGTAGGTTATCGTTCCTTTATTGTCCCTGTACCCGCAATAAACCAGCTGTCTCCCAGTCCAGTGTAGAGCTTGTATTACGGCTGATAACCTGTCAAGAGACGGCAAGGTGACGTCCCGTGGGACGCTGTGCACCGAACCCTCAAGCTGTAATACCAACCACGTAGAAAGGTGTATACGGACGATGCCGTTATAGCCGAACCCGTGTAAACGTTGTAAGGGAGAAGGAATGATAGTTACAACAGTGGTCCTGACAAATGCAGCGCAAGCGAAGTGTTTTCGCTCTCAATGCCGATCACGTATGTATGCAGTCACACATCAGATCTTGAACCTCAATTGTGTCTTGAGCCAAATGGCGATCAATGGAACTTGGGAAGCAACACCAACAAGGACCTCAGAACAGCTACCCAATTTCGGCACGGGGCCTAGAGGGTTTTAACAGTGTCTGTGTCCGTATGCGCCTGTGTGCATGTGTGTATATGTGTGCGTCTGCGTCTCTATGTGTATGTGCCTGTGCCCGTGTGTGTGTGTGTATGTGTATGTGCTTATGCTCTTATGTTTTGGTATCCAAATGTCAAAGTGACACTTGTTGTTCTGCGAAGTGCCTTTGCCGATGCACGAGAAACTCACAAACGACAGCTTGGATTGGCAAATACCTTCAGGTGAAAGTGCTGCCTTCCTCACAAGCTCTGCGGATAGACGGAAAGTGCCAGCATAGCAGTGGCATTGATGCGGCAACAAGCGCGAACAAAACCCCAGAAGCTCTCTGAGCAAGTGCGGCTAGGAGGCAATGGGCGACAAAAAAGCGCAGGCATGACTGCAGCTCTGCAGAATGGTTCCATAACCTTGTCAAGTGAACAGTATCGCACATCCAGCCTCTTCAGCACTCCAGCTGTCGCAGATTGATAATATGACTTGTTCTTGGGCACGAGCTAAGCAACCGCCAGCGTGAGTTTAGAATGCGGATCTTGGCTGTCCACAAAGCAGAAGACCGGACCTCGAGTGTTGCCAATTTGCAAACCAACGGTCGCTGCCGATTGCATGGCATGACGTTAATTGCCTGGTTTCGCAAAAAAGCTCTAAGGCTGGCAACTCCTTCCAGGAAGAGGGTGACGACACTTATAATCAAGGCCGCCTGTCAAGAACCAATCAGTCTCTTTCTAACCGTACACCGACTCATGTTTCGCGCTCCTGTTTCACTTGTGCCACCCTTGCGGGATCTGTGTTTGCTGTTTTCCGCGTGAGATGCACAGTGCCTCTGAGCGCCCCAAGCTTGTGATGGTCGCCACCTCATCTTGGACGAGAGCTCGCAGCATCATCGCAGGTGCCTGGTGGCGAATGATGAGTGTGCCGTCCCGATGGGCGCGTCAAGGCTGCCCGGCTAGCATCACAGCCACTCCGATAAGGAAAGAGAAGCCGTGAACCTGGAACCAAATGAAAACGCGTGCTGCGCTGTGGCGAACTCTGAGGCCAGCGCCGAGGCACGGCTTAGGGCTGCAGCCTGGTGTTTACCATATCCCACTCAGCGTCTGTTACCATGAGCTTGGGCATATGAACAAGAGGTCTATACTTCCACTTTTAGAGCGAAGCTAGTCGCCGTAGCCGAGGATGACACCCAAAGTAACGTACCACCGGCCAGCAGAATGGCAAAGACCACACTCAAGCCTAAGATTGAAAGGCAATGCAATTCTGCCACAGGTGCCATGAGACTCGTGCCAGACAGCTCCATACTGCTCCACCCGTTGGAAAGCCACCAGCTGATGTAGCCTGAAGATCACCGGCGCAGGCAATTTTACGAGGCAAACTGAACTAGGCTCAAGACATGTCCCAGGGAAAAGGGCGAGACTTCCCAAGCCTGGAATGCATGCGTAGACACAGCCAGTGTGCAAGCGCATGCGAGAAAGCGGCAATCACTGATGAACAGCAGCACAAAGGACCTGTACCGGGGCAAGAGCTGCAAGAGCTGCAAGAGCTGCAAGAGCTGCAAGAGCTGCAAGCGTGCAAAGCAAGAGCTATAGGAGATATCCGCCTTCTCTTGAAGAAGAGGTCGAGATCCCAACCAGGGAATCGATCGTCTCGATAGGGCCTAGATTAGGCTGCTCTGCAACTCTTATTTTGTGCCCTTTCGTAACAAAGTGCCCAGCCCTGGGGCAAAGAGCAACAATGCCTCAATGTGTTGTGCTCGGCGGTGCTGAAGCCGCATTATGCTGCTCAGTGCGACGATTTGTCTCTGAGTCAAGGAACTCCCGGGATGGCCGTCAGGAGAAACATGACCAGTCCCTCAGCTCTCTATGATGAAGATATGGCCAGAAAGGAGGGCATCTAAGGTGTAGACGATGGGCAGAAGAAGAAAAGCAAACTGTGTGGGCAGCGGCTGCTCTTTCTGGGCAAACGTGCAAGCTACACTTGGCCATGCGCATCTCGGGATCAGGGGTACAACCGTGCTCAGACCATACTTGCGCCGAATGCGAATAAGGCGTTCTCTGTTCCACGCAAAGAAGATGGCGAGGCCAGGAATATGTAGCCGCTCAGCAGCCAGGTCACGCCATACCGCCTCCCAGTCTCACAGCATTTTACAATTTCTGCAACTAAAGATTGGCAAGTTGCCAACAAAATGTTGCCCGAACTCTGAATTCTTTATGGAGGCTGCACGTTTGCTGCTGGGGTGCGCACAACATCTCCAGTGCCCCAAGGCCTTTGTGTTCCAAGACATACTCGGCACATGAAGCTGCTCAAAGCTGAATAGCTGAATACACTTTACATGCTCAGCAACTTACGAACAGCGTAGTTGGCCATGTCAGCCTGCCAAATGTCAATGGATTCACGACTACAAGCTAGCAACTAACTCTGGAATGCGATGAACTGGCTGATGAGCCAGCGCCTTGATGGACATCATGAAGTTAAAAACAAGGAACAGAAATGAAGAAGATGTCACCTAGCAGGTGCCACATGGCCACTTGAGATGCTGAAGCTTGAAGCCATATTGGATGCCGGCCATACCATGGGCAAAGACGAGAAGACACGCCAGCTCCTGGGGCATGCACTCAGGTGAGAATGGAGCTGGCAATCGCCCTGCAGGATGCATGCAAGATTCGTCTGAGGAGCTGGCAATGCTTGGATACATCGGCCAAAGAGTGAGAAGCAGCGGGACTTGAAGCCTTGTTGGCTACAAAGCATCCCGGTGACGTGCAAAACTAGCGCGACTGCCGAATCACAGTGACACAAGCACCAAGTTGCGCACATCAAGCTAATGGCCATGACCTTCCTCGGTTCAATATAGCCTCAGCGGAATTTGTTGACATCGGATTCTCAGCATGGCCTTCAATCTGCTGTGGGCTGATCCAAGCAGCGAGCGGCTTGACATTAAGGATGAATTGCAAACACGGAACACCATCTAAGGATTTGCGCCTGATGTCCCTTAGGTGGGAATAAGAACATTGCACGCAATGTCACTTTGCGGCATCACCGGGGTACAAGGCCAAAAAAAGTAACCAATCCAAGGTGTGCACACATGCCGCTTCTTTGATTGGAAAATAACGGCGCATAGTGGTTCATATGTGGCCCCTAGTGCTTGCCAGCGCCAATCAGACCAAACGCACGCCTCTGAGGTAGCTGCGGCTGAGCGCTGCCCACAAAGGTGCAGAAACCGCGAATGCGAGCGCATTGATGGCAAAGAGGGCCATGTTGAGAATCTAAGAACTCGACAGCTTCAGCTGCTTCATTAAGAAACTCAAGAATTGAAGTGGAAGCTGCGTAAGTTGTTCGGCTTTGCAATTTCAGGCAGCTGCAGGCGGGTCGATTTGCTCACCCAGCAGCCGCCGAGCCTTGCAAAAGGTTGGGGTGAGATTCCTTTCAGCCGAAGCAGTGGGCGTGATGCAGTCTATATTTTGCAGCCAAATCCCCTGAGGAGCAGGGCAAATCTGGGAACGCTTTCTCCGCCTCTCAAACCCCACCTGAGCAACGAGGCCAAGAAGGAAACATGATGAAACATGAAACTTGCACATCATGCAAAGGCAAAGCTCACGCTCAGGCGGAAGCTCGGTAGCTGTGACAAAAGTCAGGAATTCAGCCACTGGTGAAGCAACGTAGCCAAGGGCGACTACGATGTGAATGCGCTGAACACCTGAAATCTTCAACGGGTCCTTTGGAAGCTCTTCCCTCCACTGAGAGCCCAGCCACATGTCCGTCCCAATAGCCATCTGGCCACCGAACCTAAGCTTTGCGGAAGCGTAGACAACCATTGGAAACCGCAGCGCAATGACAAGGCGGAGGCTGCGTTCGCGCTCAAAGTCCACATCTTCACCAACCCTTTCTAGGATCTGACCAGGAATGCGCGTAAATCATGCATTCGAACACTTAATCACACTTGTATCACGCCTCATCTATACCCCAAGGGTGCTGCTGTACTTTCTCTTTGACTCTTTCTGCAAGCTCTTCTTCATCCAACTCCTGCAAGCTCTAGGAAAAAGCTCAGCGAGCAAGCCAATAGCTGCACGGCGCTCAACCGCACAAGGCAAGTTCGGATGGAACCTGCAAAAAGCTGGGGACTAAAACACTAAATCTTTCCGGAATGTATGCGGACGCAACGCGCGGGCCTTGTGGCATCGAATTCAAGGGATGCGGATCATTGGAAGCTTGCAGGTGCATTTGGAGCAAGCTGGTACTCACGGAGCCGGAATTTGGGTCGCACGGGATGAAGCGCGCCAAATACGCACGTGCGCCTGACCCCGCAGGGCAGGCAAAACAACTCAGCATCGAATTTCTGCCCTCCGCCCCCTCCCCCCCGCTTGGAATCATCGGCAGGCCCTTTGAAAATATCACGCAAATCCAACTTGCAGTCATAACAGTCTTCAACAGACTTTGTCTGCCTTTACCAGTGCGACGGGAAAACGTGACTCCAGATCGGGTGCGCCGGGTGCCGCGGGTGCGCCAGGTACGCGCCGGGTACGCGCCGGGTACGCGCCGGGTACGCGCCGGGGCACCAGGCGGGGTATGCGCCAGGTTCGCGCCGGGCACGCGTCGGGCAAGTATCGGGGTTGCGCTCGTAGCATGTGCAAATTTTAATTTCTGCCATAAGTGTCACAAAATGCCAGTTGTGTTTTTAACCATGTGAGCAACTACGTCGGCCATTTAAATTACTCAGAATGCTGAGAAGTTGAGCAGTGAAACAACACAGATGCGATAGCACGGAACATTGAGAAACATATCCGCCGACCCCTTTCTCTAAAAAAGGGAGGCGCACGGGAAGGGTGGTTGGCACATAAACATAACCAAAGATTCATCCTCATCAGCATCATCATCAGCATCATGATCACGATTGTCATCATCATCATCTCTTGCTTCTAGACATTTCAAATGCATTGGTAATGCAGAGGATGCTGTGATGATACTTATCATGAGAGTCATCGGCAGCATTGGTAATGCTGAGGATGCTACGATGATAGTTATCATGAGAGTCATCATCCTTATCATGTGCTTCATGATTGTCATCACAGTCGTCACCTTCATCATCGTCATCATGCTTGTCATCATCATCTCTTTCTTTTATACATTTCAAATGTGGCGTTAGGCACCGTTGGTAATGCAGAGGATGCTGCGATGACACTTATCATGACAGTCGAGCTTTGGTAATGCAGAGGATGCTACAATGATAGTTATCATGAGAGTCATCATCCTTATCATCTGCTTCATGATTGTCATCACAGTCGTCACCTTCATCATCGTCATCATGCTTGTCATCATCATCTCTTTCTTTTATACATTTCAAATGTGGCGTTAGGCAGCATTGGTAATGCAGAGGATGCTGCGGCGATGCTTATCATGACAGTCGTCCTCCTTGTCATCATTATCAGCATTGGTAACGCAGAGGATGCTGTGGTGATGCTTCTCATGACAGTCGTCCTCCTTATCAGCATTGTCCGTACGATCATCATAATCCTTGCTCCTGCAGCATTGGCAATGCCGAGGGTGCTACGATGATAGTTGTCAACAGTCATCGCCTTCATCATCATCATCATCATGATGATTGTCATCATCAGCGCTTTCTTCTATACATTTCAAATGCGGCGTGAGGCACCATTGGAAATGCAGAGGATGCTGTGATGAAACTTGTCATGACAATCGTCATCCTTATCAGCATTATCCATATGATCATCATGATCTCTGCTTCTGCAGCCTTGGTAGCGCAGAGGACGCTACAATGATTGTTATCATGACAGTCGTCGGCAGCTTTGGTAATGCAGAGGATGCTACGATGATAGTTATCATGAGAGCCATCACCCTTATCATCTTCTTGATGATTGTCATCACAGTCATCACCTTCATCATTGTCATCATGATTGTCACCCTCATCTCTTTCTTCTATACATTTCAGATGTGGCGTTAGGCACCATTGGTGATGCAGAGGATGCTGCGATGATGCTCATCATGGCAGTCCTCATCCTTGTCATCATTGTCCGTATGATCCTCATGATCTCTGCTTCTGCAGCGTTGGTAATGCAGAGGATGCTACGTTGTTGTTATCATGACAGTCATCGCCAGCTTTGGTCATGCAGAGGATGCTACGATGATAGTTATCATGAGAGTCATCACCCTTATCATCTTCATGATGATGGTTATCACAGTCATCACCTTGATCATCGCCATCATGATAGTCATCGCCATCTCTTTCTTCTATACACTTCAAATGTGGCGCTAGGCGCCATTGGTAATGCATGACAATCGTCACCCTTAACATCATTATCCGTACGATCATCATGATCTCTGCTTCTGTAGCATTGGTAGTGCAGAGGATGCTACGATGATAGTTATCATGACAGTCATCGGCAGCTTTGGCACTGCAGAGGGTGCTACGATGATAGTTATCATGAGAGCCATCACCCTTATCATCTTCATGACCATTGTCATCACAGTCATCACCTTCATCATTGTCATCATGACTGTCATCCTCGTCTCTTTCTTCAATTCTATGCACTTCAAATCTGGTGTTAGGCACCATTGGTAATGCAGAGGATGCTGTGATGTTACTTATCATGACAGTCGTCACCCTTGTCATCATTATCCGTATGATCATCATACTCTCTGATTCTGCAGCGTTGGTAATGCAGAGGATGCTACGATGATAGTTCTCATGACAGTCATTGGCAGCTTTGGTAATGCAGAGGACGCTACGATGATAGTTGTCATGAGAGTCATTATCCTTGTCTTCATGATGATTGTCATCACAGTCATCGCCTTCATCATCGTCATCAGCAGCTTTTTCATACATTTGTGGCGTTAGGCACCATTGGTAATGCAGAGGGCGCTGTGATGATACTTGTCATGACAGTCGTCATCCTTAACAGCATTATCCGTATGATCATCATGATCTCTGCTTCTGTAGCATTGGTAATCCAGAGGATGCTACGGTGATAGCTATCATGACAGTCATTGGCAGCTTTGGCAACGCAGAGGATGCTACGATGATAGTTATCATGAGAGCCATCATACTTCTCATCTTCATGATGATTGTCATCACACTCATCACCTTCATCATCATCATCATCATGATTGTCATCATCAGCTCTTTCTTCTATACAATTGAAATGTGGCGTTAGACACCATTGGTAACGCAGAGGATGCTGTGTTGATACTTATCATGACAGTCGTCGTCCTTATCATCACTATCTGTATGATCATCATGATCTCTGCTTTTGTAGCATTGGTAATGCAGAGGGTGCTACGATGAGAGTTATCATGACAGTCATCGGCAGCTTTGATAGTGCAGAAGATACTGGGATGATAGTTGTCATGAGAGCCATCGTCCTTATCATCTTCATGATGATTGTCAACACACTCATCACCTTCATCATTGTCATCATGATTGCCATCCTCACCTCTTTCTTCTATTCTATAGATTTCAAATGTGGCGTTAGGCACCATTGGTAATGCAGAGGATGCTGTGATGGTACTTGTCATGACAGTCGTCATCCTTATCATCATTATCCGTATGATCATCATGATCTCCGCTTCTGCAGCATTGGTAGTGCAGACGATGCTACGATGATAGTTATCATGCCAGCCATCGGCAGCTTTGGTAATGCAGAGAATGCTACGATGATAGTTACCATGAGAGCCAGCATCCTTATCATCGTCATGATGATTGTCATCACAGTCATCACCTTCATCTTTGTCATCATGATTGTCATCCTCATCTCTTGCTTCTGTACATGTCAAATGTGGCGTTAGGCACCTTTGGTAACTCAGAGGGTGCTGTGATGATGCTTATCATGACAGTCGTTATCCTTATCATCATTGTTTGTATGATCCTCATGATCTCTGCTTCTGCAGCATTGGTAATGCAGAGGATGCTACGATGATGCTAATCATTACAGTCATGGCCAGCTTTGGTCACGCAGAGGATGCTACGGTGAGAGTTATCATGAGAGTCATCAGCCTTATCATCTTCATGATGATTGTCATTAGAGTCATCACCTTCGTCATCGTCATCATGACAGTCATCGTCATCTCTTTCTTCTGTGCGTTTCACATGTGGCGTTACGCACCATTGGTAATGCAGAGGATGCTGTGATGCTGCCTATCTTGACAGTCAGCATCCTTATCATCATTCTCCGTATGAAAATCATGGTCTCTGCTTCGGCAGCATTGGTAATGCAGATCATGGTTGTCACGACGGTCCCTGGCAGCTTTGGTAATGTAGAGGATGCTGGGATGACACTTATCATGACGGTCGTCATCCTTATCATCATTGTCCGTATGATCATCATGCTCTCTGATTCTGCAGCGTTGGTAATGCACAGGATGCTACGATGATAGTTATCATGACAGTCATTGGCAGCTTTGGTAATGCAGAGGATGCTCCGATGATAGTTGTCATGAGAGCCATCATCCTCATCGCCTTCATCATCGTCATCATGATTGTCATCATCAGCTCTTTCTTCTACACATTTCAAATGTGGCGTTAGGCACCACTGGCAATGCAGAGGGGGCTGTGATGACACTTATCATGAGAGTCGTCACCCTTATCATCATTATCCGTATGATCATCATGTGCTTCTGTAGCATTGGTAACGCAGAGGATGCTACGATGATAGTTATCATAACAGTCATCGGCAGCTTTGGTAGTGCAGAGGATGCTACGATGATAGTTGTCATGAGAGTCATCATCCTTATCATCTTCATGATGATTGTCATCACAGTCATCGCCTTCATCATCATCATGATTGTCATCACCAGTTCTTTCTTCTACACGTTTCAAATGCTGCGTTAGGCACCATTGGAAATGCAGAGGATGCTGTGATGATACTTATCATGACAGTCGTCATCCTTATCATCATTATGATGACGATGATAATTGTTATGACAGTCATCGGCAGCTTTGGTAGTGCAGAGGATGCTACGATGATAGTTATCATGAGAGCCATCATCCTTATCATCTTCATGATGATTGG